GGCCAACCCAATCGTGAGGTAGCCATCCCAACTTGCTGTTGCTCCAATCGGATCGTAGTTGAAATCATGGCCATCTCCACTCCTATGATCCACAGTAGGAGGATCTCCCTTTTATTTCTCAAATGTCTTTACACTTAAGTTAAGTAGGTAACACCTTAATCCTTCATCTGGTATTGGAACATAACGAGTAGGCATATCTGATGCCAAGTGGTCACATACTTGCACAATTTAAGTGAGCATAAACTGCCTGAACTCATCGAGACGCGCAAAAATCACGTCAGGAACTTGTGCGAGGGTTAGATCCGCTTCTTCGTTCCCAAATGGCGCTCTTAGCTTCTCCAGCACTGATCCTTGGGCCTCAGAGAAGTTTTTCTTGTTTTTTTTTAATTTTATACCGAGGAGTGACTACAAGTGCTATTGAGTGTAGCGGAGCTACCCTAACTCCTTATAAGAGTAAGACTTCCAGACTCGTAGGATCTACAGGTGTATTAAATTATACGAGTGTTTAGGTAATGGGTCTCAAGTCTTTACAGACTTAGTGAGGCTTAACCCTTGGTATCTGAACCAGCTTGAAAGATTCTTATTCTAGTCAAGGGGAAAAGTGATTTAAAGGAATCACATGGCGCTAATTCTGAAGAGTACTAGCCTCAAATAAAAAATCAGAGACGTTTAAGCAAGACACGTGTCTAAGATATATCCGAATGATTACTAAGTTTAATTAGTGATTAACGTGATGATAAATTTCATCTACGTGGTTAACCTTTAAACTGTATTACCTGATCCAAAAACGTTGATATAGGTCCTTCCGGTGAAACCACACCAGAATTACATTGTCTTTTTAAGACCCTTATACGATGGACAACATGTATCCGTAATCAACAAGGTACGGTATTGCAGCTTAGCGTATGCGTATGTGATACGATAACATGCCTTTCAGTGAAAGTGATCTCTTCAAGTGTTGTTGGCGTGCCGGTTATCACCATTATTTCTGCCGCACGTCACATGCAAGACTAATGGAAAGGAAGATTTTCATCATCTTCGCAGTTCAACAAGCATTTCATAATTTCCATTGACCGTCACAGTCATAATTAATACAGTATCTACGGATAATGACAATGGAGGTCTGTTAAATAGCAGCTATGTTGCAACTATGGCAGTCATATAGTGGTATATTGCTAATTAACTCCGTGAGTGAAACTGAAATAAATATATAGATTCTCTGTATGTCCCGCCATAATCCTTTTAAGCATATTTTGTGTCAACCGTAAGGGGGTTTCTGTTACGTGATATTTACACAAGGTAAACATAAAGGATGAATATCATGTTAAGGCAAACATCATATTCTCACAACGCAGCTTATCCGGTAATACTGTGGTGCAGGAATTATACACTATTAATTGGTTGATATCGAGCAATTATACTAAAAAATAGAGCCGAAACATGACAGAATAACGCAATCAGTGGCGAGCAGACACTTATAATACTTTTTGTATTGAGGCATACCTAAAGGAGACTAATGGGATGTATTAACAGGCGATAAACCACAATTAATATATTCCCATTTTTAACCTTATCTCGTATTAAAAACCTTCTTCTGCACTGTGCGTGTACGTAAGATTTTGAAGCACCTGCTTACCCTGTGTTCAGATAAAGTAGCTTGTATTGTGATAGTACAAGCGATAAATGTCTTGTTTCACCTGGTAACGGTTTTTAGTCCGCCCAACAACCGTGGAAATGTTGAATAATGAAGCGTGATAATTTTTATCCCGCGCATGAGAGCTGCTTTTGTTGATTCAAATTAAATGGGATGCTGTTGAACGTTGAGTTTGACGATAGGATACGAAACCATCGGCGTTAATTCTTCCGCTTCGTGTCCGGACAGACAACACGCCATCATTGCCAAAATCATCCAAAATGAACCTGACGCTGGACTAAAAAGTAGCCTTGCTTTACTGACAAGGTGATAAGTATTCTGAGCTATCGTATAAGTTAATCGCTCAACTGTTCGAGCTATCGAGACAGCATCAGGCTGCTGCTACCGAATTGACACATGTACACGACGACTTTTATGGCTGGAGACAAATATTTTTAAGCACGAAGAAGCTTACAAAGCTTACCTGCTTGAATGGGTTGTCGAATTAACTGACGCATTTTGGCCCGTCACATTACTGATAGGAATGCATGTCGTATTTGATTAATACTACTTGGCAATGCGTGCGAAGACAAGAGTCCAAGGCTTAAGGCTACATGAACCATAAAGTTTGAAGTCGTTAGAAGCCACATCGCTCAGAACAACATTTGAGCCACCGCGACCTAATTACAAGCTCTTATGAGCTCCTGAAACTTTGCAAAGACAAACGTGATGTACACTCATACTTATAGTACATACGTCACCTGCAGGTTTAGTTCTAGAAAATTCTCTGAATGAACAAACGTTGCCACATTATTCATGCAATGTATCATGGACGTTATTGTCAAAAATTTCCTGATCCGACTGTAATCTGAGGCTATGAGAGAGGCAATTCAGGCTATTGAGCAAGAAAATTTCAGCATGAAAGAGGATTATGTAAACTCGAGATTCTATCGTCCTCCGAGATACAGGATATGGTACTGAGTAATCAATGGACATTTGTTTCACCGAAAGTGATTGCTCACGCGTTCCCAATTTCAAAACTGCTAAGCTGCAATAAACGTCTAAAGACAGGGCGAAGTGCATATAAATAAAGATATTCAAACACAGTAGTACGGCCGCAGAAAAAGTAAACTATAAACGGTCACGAAGGTCTCAAAGCGTGGGTCGACGCTGTTGCTAAAACTCAAAATTGTAATGCAAAGTAATTGCATAATCGGGGTCAGTAGGTGCGGCGCCTCTACTGATCCAGAAGTGTCACGTGAATGTGGAGGCCTGTAGACGATAGTGCTCCAGTATTCAATCATTGTGGGTTATTGTATCTGTTGAAGATGTTTACCGCATAACCCTGAAGCTCGAAGTGGCACAAATGTCGCTTTAAGCCGTAGTTGACTGTGGCGCATCGAAAAACTTTGTACAACCTCATTCGCTGCATCACAGCGCGTTAAATTTAGATTTTTGTGACATCCCTTCAACGAGGATGACGGTGCGCATCGCTACAGATGCATCCGTAACAATGGAAAAATGCTTGGTGGGAATAACTTTTACACAAGAAGAATCCAATACGACGATGGCTTCATCGTACTAGACTTAAATGAAAAGTTTGATGTTATCCTTGGTCTACCGCGGATCAAAAGTACGATCCACAAGTCATCTAGGAATCGTTCTTCCTTTTCACAAAAAGTTGACATGCATGCTTCGTATTCACCAGACGGTCATCTGATAAACCTTTTACAGCATACAACACTCTGTGAATGTACTACGACTAAGTGCGATGGCCTCACATGTGGTTAGGTCTTTAGTAAAAATGCACAAGATCGCAATGTGACTAACTATCATTCTGCGGATTAACTTACGGACGACTGCCTAGAAACGCAAGAAGTGCCAAAAGCTCACCACTCGAATAAGTCGATCGGACCGGGGCACGGGTGCCCTTTAAAAGGAAAACTAATAGATACTGTTTAACTGACTGTCAATAATTGGCAATGCAAAGATGTTCGAATGATTGGAGAGTCAAACGCATAGGACCTTGCTACAGTAGCGCATCTTTTGCAAGAAGCCGTCGAGAAGAAAGCCCTCGTGCATGTAAATATGTGATATCGTTATATTACAGAGTAAAGAAATTTTTCCCCAACAGACTGTGGAAGCAAGCCATTATGATACAACAGAAAAATCGAGTGTTCTAGTGGATAAAGGATCAAGCATAGCAGTTTTAAACTTAATATGATTACGCCTCCAAAAGTGACATCGGAATTCGCTCAGTTACCCACGCTAAACCAAATAAAAATTCTTGCGTGATCTTCTCAGTGGCTAAGTCGAGCAGATCTGCGTACTTGTTGTGGAAGTCGATCACGTCAGTGATGTCTGATCGTCATAATTATTTGTGGGGGAAGAAAGAGTTCTCAGTAGATTTTCGTAGGATGATAGTGTTGTTGAAGAGAAGACTCATACTGAGCGTATTTGCACCCCAATCATAAGAATCACTAATAGCAAATTCTCTCCACGACATTTTGATAGAATTCAGGGGCGCATTTCTAAAAGCAGTCCCGTGCGAGATACCCAAGAACAAAGGCAACAATTACGAAATCGACCTTAAAGTAGGTTTAAAGTACCGTGTCATGAAGTAAAGGCTACTGCGTCGTGAAAAAGTATTAGCGATCGACAAATCTTTGCAGATCGTTAAGCAGATGGCAATTTAAGGAATTCGAACTCCCCACATCATTCTTTGACCTTACATGCTTTCGATAATTCAAATGCTGGAACTGAACCGGCTCAAACTTTGATATCAAGTAAAGATGTCATCATTGATGGTACAGCGAAGAGTACTATCTTATCACCAATTACTCTGAAGTGCGTATTCTAAATGGTCCTCATGCGCATAAGGTGTAACGGGGTGAATCGTTACATAACAATTTATAAGAAATTGTTAATAGAATATAACTATAAGAGTTATATTCTCAGAATATTGTCATAAGGACAATATTCTGTAGCACTTCCAAGTAGTTCCTAATTGGTTGATATAGGCCATTATATCAACCAACGAAGACGCGCCACGACAGACGCACGCAATGAGTGGTGAGCAGATAACTGATTTACACATTTGTATTTAGACATAGTTAGATGAAGATAAATAGTGATTTATTGCAGACATTAACTATTATAAATACAGTTCTACTTTTTACTCTAACCGAGTACTCGCTTCTTCTTACCGTCTTCCTCTGCACGTACGAGTGTACGTGAAGTTACGAGGCACCGCCTTATTCTGTTATCAGAATAAGTAGCTTGTACTGTCACCAGTACAAGCTTCAGGGTGCCCCGTTACACCTGGTAGCACTTTGTAGTCCGTCCAAGGACCGCGTTCACATCCAACATGAATATGTTGGATGATGAAGATGACCAAAGCTTTCACGCTACGCGTGACGGCTACTCCCATTTGAGCGATGTCGAATGGGATGCGGTTGAACGAATGGGTTCGACCATGGGCATCCATGCTGTTAGCGTCATGCTAGAGGCTCTCAATAGAGATGCCCAACATGCTACTATCGCCAAGTTCATTCAAAATGAACTTGACGCAGAACGCGAGAAAGTAGCCTTGCTTCACCAACAAGGTTCTCAACAAGCAGAGTTGTTGAGAGAACAAGGTGCTCAACAGTTTGAACTGTTGAGACAGCAGCAGGCTGCTGCTGGCGGGTCGATGCACTCGCGTCGGCCCGAGACTTTGAAGATTGACATCTCAAAGTATAGGGGGGTCGAAGAAGACTCCCTCTTGAGATGGTTCGTCGAATTGGATGACGCCATAAGGGCGCGTCGCATCGACGACGGGGATATGCAAGTTGCATTTGGCCAATCGTGCCAAGACTTGGGCTTTGGGGCTCAAGTTGCACGATCCATATGAGTTCGGATCGTTGGAAGTCTTCAAGTCGCGGCTCAGACAAACGTTTGAACCGCCTAGAGCTGAGTTCAGAGCTCGGACCGAACTCTTGAAGCTCAAACAAGGTAAGCGTGATGTGCACGCTTGCGCACAACATATACGACATCTCACGAGTTGTATAAGTTCCAATCCGGTGGATGAACACACGTTGGTTTCGGTGTTCATGCAGGGTCTTGCGGATGGTCCCGTCAAGACTCACCTGTTCCGGCTTGAACTAGATTCACTAGAACAAGCCATTTCAATTGCGGAGCAGGAAGACTTCAGTCTGAGACAGGCTCGCGCCAGCTCGACATCATATCGTCAACCGAGACGATATGACAACGGAGGTCCAGAGCCGATGGAACTCTGTTATGTAGAGAGCGAGAAGGTTCGCTCTACAGGCTACAAGAAGTTGCAGAGATGCAACAGATGTCAGAAGACAGGACACTACGCTTACGAGTGTAGTGCCCCTCGTCCAGTGTCTCGCGACACTGGGCGTAGTGACCGTCCACCCATGAGAAAGGGGCAGGGACGAGGGTCCGCAGTTGGTGCAAAGACGCAACAACGGGATGGACCGTCAAAAAACGGACAGGATCAGTAGGTGCGGAGCACCCTACTGATCCAGCAACGTCAAGAGAATTTGTAGGCCTCTTGATGAAGGTTGCTCCCAACACACAGACATTGTGCGTTGCTGCTCTAGGTAATGAGATCTCACTCATTACCTTGAAACTCGAAGTGACGAATAAGTTGTCCCTTCGAGCTCTAGTCGATTGTGGGGCGTCCAACAATTTTGTGCGACGCCAATCGCTAGAAGATGGTCACTTTAAATTCAGTGAATGTGACACACCTCCTACGAGGATGACGGTACGTCTTGCGACAGGCGCATCCGTAACCGTCATGAAGCGTATAGTGAAGATTCACTATACGCTAGAAGATACCCAATACGACGATGACTTTATCGTATTGGATTTGGATGACAAATTTGATGTCATCCTTGGAATACCGTGGCTCAGAAGGTACGAACCACGGGTAAACTGGCAACATCGGACAGTAACGATGCCTGCCGCTTGTTCATCAGATGGCCATCTGATGAACGTTTTGGAGCGTCCACAAGCGTGTGGATGTACTACGAGTGAGTGCGATGGCCTCACTTGTGGTACGGTCGTTAGTACGACTGCACAAAACCTTAGTGTACCAAACGGTTACACTTCGGAGCAAAGTTCCGGCGGCTGTGAGGAAACACAGGCTGCGCCGAAGGTCCACCACTCGAATAAGTCGGGTGGACTGGGACAAAGATGTATCCCTAGAGGGGAACATCTAGAAGATAAACAATCGATCGCTCAGGTTAAGCGAAACGATAATCCTAGATCGACTGGAGAGTCTTTCGTAGAGGATCTCGCTGTGGTTGCGCAACCCCAGCTAGAGGAAGTAAAGGGAATAAGTCCCAAGATTACAAATACGGCGGAAATAAGTTCCCCGAAACCCGCGGGAATAAGTCCCCGGGAAGACGAAGGAATAAGTCCTTCGAAGCCTGAGGGAATAAGTCCCCAGGAAATGACAGAGACATTGAATGTCATAGTCAATAACGGATCATGTGTAGGCGCTTATACACTTGATCTGATTGCGCCTCCGAAGTTAACTTCGGAGATCACTCAGTTGCCAACGCTCGAACATAAAAGGTTCTTGCGTGATCTGCGTAGTGGCAAAGTCAAGCAGATCTGCATACTCGTCGCTGACGACGAGTATGTAACCGACATAAGGTCAGCAACAGTGTTTACTGAGAACGAGAGAGTTCTCAGTAGTTCATCTATGGACGAGAGTGCCCTAGATGAAAAGACACGAATTGAGCGATATGACTCCCAATCATGGGAATCGCTCAAGGAAAATCCTCTCTATGAAGATTTGGTTGAATTCAAGGATGTATTCCCTGAAACTGTTCCGTGCGAATTACCGAAGGATAAAGGTATTCGACACGAAGTCGAGCTTAAACCAGGCTCGAAGTACTGTGTCATGAAGCAGTGGCCACTGCCTCGTGAACAAGTACTTGCGATCGACAAGTTCTTTGCCGATCGTTTAGCAGCGGGCCATGTGAGGGAATCAACTTCCCCACATAGCTCTCCGACCTTCTGTGTGCGAAAAGCAACAGGAGGGTGGCGGATAGTGCACGCGTTTAACAAATTGAACGCTGCAACGGTACCGGCTCAGACGCCGATACCGAGGAAGGACGTAATCATTGATGGTATGTCAAAGAGTACCATCTTTTCGTCCATGGATTTGATGGATGGCTTCTATCAAATCCTAATGCGGGAACGGGATATACCCTATACCGCAGTTAGCACGCCTAGTGGCATGCTCTGGGAATGGCTAGTAATGCCACAAGGGCTCAGTAATGCCCCTGCCACGTTCAACAGGTGTGTATCACATCTGTTGAGGCCAGTACGAGAATTCGCGCCGAGTTATTTCGATGACGTATTCATCCATAGTCGAGCTATGGATGGAAAGTCGGACGTTGAGGTTCACAAGTACCACGTCCGACAAGTTCTTACAATCATGCGAAAGCATCAATTGTATGCAAACCTCAAGAAGTGTATATTTGCAGCAAGCGAAATACCACTTCTTGGGTGCATCGTTGGTAAGAACGGTGTACGTCCTGATCCCGAAAAGATCAAGGCGATCACCGACTGGCCCGTGCCGGTCGATGTCAAAGGTCTTCGAAAATTCCTTGGGCTAGCGGCGTATTTGCATAAGTATTCACGCAATTACGCCGAGATGACTGTACACCTCTCTCGTTTGTTGAAAAAGAACGAGAGGTGGTTATGGAACGCTGAATGTCAACGCTCCTTTGATGGTATCAAGCAGAGCTTGATACAATCCCCAGTCCTAGCAATAGCCGATCAGGACAGGCCATTTCATGTGGTCTGTGATGCCAGCGATTTCGCAATCGGCTGTGCATTAATGCAGTACGACCTTGAAGGCGTTGAACGCGTCGTCTGCTATCAGTCGCGTCAGCTGCAACCAGCTGAGCGGAACTATCCAGTGCATGACAAGGAACTCCTTGCCATGAAGTATGCACTAGCGAAGTTCAGAGTCTATCTATTAGGAGATAGACCCTTCGTTGTTTACACTGACCATGCGTCCTTACGCACGGCAGTGAACAGCCCGCACCTTTCACAACGAATGGCGCGGTGGTTGTCATTCTTTGTAGAATACAACTTTACGGTCGAGTACAAACCAGGACGACTTAATGTCGTCGCTGATGCACTCTCACGTCGTCCCGACTTTGAAACAGTCGCGAAACCCAACAGTGAGACAGTCACTGTTGCGGTTATGACGTCCTCAGTTCCATCTACAACGTTGTATGATGATGTGAGGCGGGCATACGCCCAAGATGGTGAGATAGTGAAGTTGTTGTCACATCTCTCCCAACCATCTCGAGAATCGTTGAAACGATTGTCGTCTGCGTATCGATCTGCATCAGATCGATACACTACTCGTAACGGTTTACTGTACTATACAGCCGTTTCTGGTGACACACCACGTGTTGTCATTCCAGATGATACTGATCTGCGTTTGCGGATCATGTTCGAGTATCACGATGCTCCTATAGGAGGACATCGTGGCCGAGAGAGAAAACATATCTCACGGTAAGTCGAGACTTTTACTGGCCCCGCCAGTATCAGTTTGTGCGAAAGTATGTTCGCGCATGCGGAAGTCTGCCAACGAGTGAAGTCAAGTCCTTCACTGCGTGCACCTTTACAGCCTCTACCGGTTCCGGCTGAGTGCTGGGAATCCATCTCAATGGATTTCGTCTTCGGGTTACCCAAAGACGCACGCGGGAATACGGGTATTCTCGTATTTGTTGACAGATTCAGCAAAATGGTACACCTTGTGGCTGTACCAGAGACAATCACGGCAAGTGGCTGTGCTTGTGTCTTTATTGACACCATCTTCCGACTTCATGGGTTGCCCCGTGAACTCGTATCAGACAGAGATCCACGATTCACTGCTGATTTCTGGCGTTCCGTGTTCAAATCACTCGGAACGCGCTTGAAGATGTCAACATCTGATCATCCAGAGTCAGATGGTCAGACGGAACGTGCCAATCGTGTCCTTGAAGAGATACTTCGAGGATACGTACACTCCTTTAAGAGTTGGAGTGAGTTTTTGCCGATGGTAGAGTTTGCCATCAACAACTCGGTGCATGCGTCCACGACACATACACCGTTTTACGTGAATGGCTTGCGCCATCCGCGTGTACCCACCTTACTAGAGTGTAACTCTGGTTTAAGGGGGGAGGGACTCGCGCGAGCAAAAACCGATTTGGTTCACGCTCATCACGCTCTGACGAAGAAGTCATTGCGTTTGATGCCGATATCGATAACATCGATATCGAAGAAGATGATGCCAGTGAGAGTGCGGAAGCCCTCACTGAAGACAATGATGCCAGTGAGAGTGCGGAAGCCCTCACTGAAGAAAAGGTTGTTGTTGCTGCAGTGCGCTCACAGCACACTGAAGCTAACGAGTCATCAGATGAGTTCATACTGGCTCGTGAAACGGTAGTCCGTTTTTGTGCAAGACTCCATCGCCGAAGCGGTGGATAAGCAAAAGCAAAACGCTGACAAGAATGGAAGGGCAAACACTCTTTTATTTAATAAAGGTGACTTAGTCCTACTGTCTACGGTTAATCTACCAAAACATGTAGTGACTAACTTGGGTAGCAGTAAACTACTACCCAAGTACATTGGCCCATTTCGTGTATTGCACCGCCTAGGCAATGCATACACGATCGAGTTACCACGTAAGATGCGAACGCATCCCACGTTTTACGTTGGTCGGCTTAAGCCGTACCATCAGTACGCTGCTTCTTCCGATGAAGAACGCCCTTGCGCTCAAGCATCTCGCAGAGAGCCTTGTGCTCCCGATGGTGGGAATCGACAAGGGTCTGAAGAGCAGTTATCTCAGCCCGAGACCGATCAACAATCCCACGAGCTACCCTTAGCTCGTCACGAAGAGATGTCAGAGATCTCTCGTTCTCAAGCTGAGCAAAGGCAAACTCAGCTCGATGCTTCGAGGCAGTGTCCACCATCTGGAGACGCCTATTCCGCTCATGCTCGAGATCGTCGCGTAACCCTTGCGTTACGCGATCAAAAAGCTCTCGGGAACACACCGATCCACATGATCGTGTGGAGAGCGTCTTTCCTCCTCCTCCACCTCCATTAGAGGACTCTCGCGGTGGCCAGCGCTATCTAGTTGAGCAGCTGTTGAACCACCGCGACGTGAACGGACGTCGGACGAGTTACCTCGTCCGGTGGCGCGGCTATCCCCCGTCCTGGGATTCTTGGGAGCCCCGCTCCCAATTGATGGTTGACGTACTGGGTCTGGTCGAGCAGTACGACGCGACACATCCTGTGCCGCAGAAGGACCGCCGGAGAAAGTCTTCCCGGCACGGTCGTAAAGGGATTTCAGGTTGTCAATCCCTTCGTACATCTCAGTAGAGACACGTACGCGCCACCACGGGCTGGTAAGGAGGTAAGCCTCCTTAGGTGCTCGTGCAGAGTTGTTCACACAACATGGGCACGAGTCTCCCCAAGAGAGGCAGGGTAATCCTTTCTCCCTTGACAGACGATGCAGCTTGTAGCGTGCACCTGTCGGGGTTCGCTTTTCAAACTTATCACGAGCTTTGATAAGTTTGTCGTTCCAAGCGTCACGACCTACATCCTCGAGGTTATGGATGTAGGCGTTCCACGCCTGAAGTAGTGAGGGACCATCACGTTTGTGATTCCCACTGTACCATCGATGTCTGAAGAAAGCATCGATGAAGAACTCATGTTCAGCGCGATAGTCTTTCGCGCTGGGGTCAAGGTGATGGATCCTTGACGAATCGAACAATCGTGTTCGATAACGATCACTCGTCGTCGCCGACAAGTGATCCATGACAGATTTAGGAGGCATCCATGCCTTCTTTTCTGGAGCGAGACGCAACACATTGCGGTCCCGCTCTTCCTGCGACGTGCCGACAGAAGTACTGGCACCTCGCTGTGAAGTGGTGTCCATTGGAGAAACGACACCACTATTGGCGCCCGAGTCTCGCGACCTCGAGCGCCTTCGCTTCGGCGATGGTTCATCTGACTCATCAGATGAACCAAAGATGCTGCGACGCAAAGCATCGTCCATGCCACGCTTGGCAGGCGGCTTGGATTCAATTGCCGTCGATACGGATCCGTCATCCGTATCAGGAGAGTACGAGACACCGAGCTCGTACTCTGTGAAGACACGAGTGTCTTCATGACCAGCGCCTGCATCACCAGGTGATACAGGCTGAGTCGATTCAGCAACCGATGGGACATCAGTTGCTGTAGTTTCTGCTTCGGCGTCCGCACAGAGACGTGCAGACGCGCTCTCGGCGGCCTTGCTCGCGCATCGCATGGGCTTGTTTACCATGCGATGAGATGTTGGAAAGTGGACGCGGACCAACAAGTGCAAACCCCGTCCCAAATGATTTGGGACGAGTATCCATTTAGTCAATCAGTCACTAAAGTGACTGATGGTTAAGGGGGGGGTGATGTAACGGGGTGAATTGTTGCATAACAATTTATAAGAAATTGTTAACAGAATATAACAATAAGAGTTACATTCTCAGAATATTGTCATAAGGACAATATTCTGTAGCACTTCCAAGTAGTTCCTAATTGGTTGATATAGGCCATTATATCAACCAACGAAGACGCGCCACGACAGACGCACGCAATGAGTGGTGAGCAGATAACTGATTTACACATTTGTATTTAGACATAGTTAGATGAAGATAAATAGTGATTTATTGCAGACATTAACTATTATAAATACAGTTCTACTTTTTACTCTAACCAAGTACTCGCTTCTTCTTACCGTCTTCCTCTGCACGTACGAGTGTACGTGAAGTTACGAGGCACCGCCTTATTCTGTTATCAGAATAAGTAGCTTGTACTGTCACCAGTACAAGCTTCAGGGTGCCCCGTTACATAAGGACTATAATTTATACTGCAGTGAGCACTGCAAGCTATAAGATTCGCTCGTGACTAGTAATGCCACAAGGAATAAGTAATTCCCAGCCACATATATCAAATGTGTGACTAATCTGCTGAGATCTTTACAAGAAATTCGCTTCCGACTACTTCATCGACTTGTTCTTCCATTGACAGGCTATGAACGGACAGACGAATGTGGAAGTGCACTAACTTCAATTCCGAAGGTTCTTAAATGTTTGCCTTTGCGTAGAAACTGAATGTCAATTTAAGAAGTTTACAATTGCTGCTAGCAATACTCCTTCTATACAGGATTCTGATCGAATTAGCATCACGCCCAGAGAGTCCAAAGATGTACTGGATAATACAACAAATTATCTTACTGCAGTATACTTCGAGATCAATGTAACCAAACAAACATTATGTCGGTAGATAGATCTATACTGGCCCGTCAAACCGTTGTCCGTTTTAAACAAATTCTTATGCGGAGACGATAGATTGACAAATGCAATTTGCCGACAAGAATGTAAGGTCAAATGTTCATTGATCTGATAGATGTGATTTAATCATAATATTTACGGTTAACCTACCTCGACACATAGTGACTAACGTGTATAGTAACAAGTTACCACCCAAGGCCATCATATCATTTCGTGTGCTGCTCCACCTAGGCAACTTAGACACAATTAAACAAACACATACGATGCATTCGCATCATACGTAATCATTTGTTCGCTCTAGGCCGTACTTTCAGTACGGTACTTCTTCTGGTGTAGAAAGCCCTTGCGCTCAAATATCTATAGAAGGCACTTTTACTCGCGATGATAAATCTCAGTCCGCGTCTTAAGCTCGGTTTTCTTCCCGCGAAGCCAAAAATAATCTCGAAAATAACTTAAATAGTCGTGAAGAAAACGCTATGCTTGCTATTTCGAAAACCAGACATAGTCATACCTTAAACTGCCCATCTCCGACGCAACCCCAAATGTTTTACAATGCCAACCAATTGTAGACGACTCCCTCTCTAGTGTTCGATGTCCTCGCTCAACTATCACTTTACGCGACAAAAACTCTCAAAATCAGGTTGATGCTGCAATTCCATCGAAGGGTGCATTTCCTCCTGTGCGCGCTGTGACCAACGCTTCCTCATGGAGTGTGTGCTGAACCACAGTGATGAAAATTGTGTCGGACGAGCTAGCTTGTCTGGTGGTGCGGCTATCCATCCTCGGCGATAGTTCAGCGCCTCACTCGCAAATGATGGTAGATATGTGTAAGGCCTTGTCAAGAACCTGACAAGGCACATCTGTTCCGACTAAGGCCCATCGGAAAACGTTTGTTAGCGTTTCGCAAAGGAACCACCTCGTACATCTTAGATGAGAAACCTGCTATTGGCGGTAGTATTTGATGAGTGGTCTTCCTTCGCACCCCGTTCCAAGTTGTTCACACAACAATGGCACTGGTCACCCCTAGGAAGAAATATTTACGCGGCATCTTTTGATTAATTGACGTGTTATGTCATGTGCACGGGTAAAAATCCACTTTTCAAGTCTAGGGCGCGATAATGTCAGCTTATCAAGCCAGGCATCGCGTCCAAACTCTTTAACGTAGTGGATGGACGCGTTCATGTCCTAAACAGAAAGGCCCCATTACGTATTTGGTTCTCATCGGTCATTGAAGAATGCGTCGATGTGAAAATCATGTTAAGTGTGAAAATTAACTGCACTAAATTTAAGTCCATAGAGACTTGATGAATCGAATAGTCTAATGTGTTACGGTTCTCTTACTTATTCGGATAACCGATCTAGCACTCAATAAGGAGAAATTCACGCCTTTACTCATAAGCAACACGCAAGATGCCGATTTCGCTGGCTTGCGTAATGTCAAAAGTAGTACCGAGAGGATTAACAGCACGATCGTCTTGATCATAACGCGTTGCTGCATCAAGTTTATCGTCAGTATATAGGCCTAAGCAGCCGCTTCATTTGTTTTTGAGTAGATCTGACGTGGAATGGATCGTCCGACGAGTTAGACGATCTAAAGTGTGTCATTTAGCTCAGTAAGGCTTGTAGCGCTTAGCTAGAGCGACTTAGTTGAGTATGGAATCGTCACGTCTAGCCCTTTTTCACTGATGCCTTCTTTTAGTCGGTGACGCCACTCACTTCGTCGGAGTATATGAGCTCAAGCTCATAATCTCAGGAAACACACGCCGCATCACCTCGAATGACCTAGCAGCTGAGCGGTGGAAACAGAAAACTAATAATCTCCTGATGCATTTGAAGTCTTCGCCTCTTCCGTTACTAGGAAGCGGATTTTCATTGAATCACTTCCTGCAGCTTTGGCTGCACATCGCCTAGAGCTGTTAACCTTGCGATGAGATTAAGGAATGATTTGATATAACTAACAAGTGCTATCCTGTCCCAAAGTCATTTAATGGAGTCAACAAATTATACATTAGTCAATTAAATAATGAACGATTACGTGGTGTAACGGGTTGTCGTCGCTGCATGGTATTTTACACAAGGTAAACATAAAGGATGAATATCATGTTAAGGCAAACATCATATTCTCACAACGCAGCTTATCCGGTAATACTATGGTGCAGAAATTACACACTATTCATTGGTTGATATCGAGCAATGATACTAAACAATAGAGCCGAAACATGACAGAATAACGCAATGAGTGGCGAGCAGACACTTACAATACTTTTTGTATTGAGGCATGCCTAAAAGAGACTAATAGGATGTGTTAACAGGCGATTAACTACAATCAGTAAATTCCCATTTTTAACCTTGTCTCGTATTGAAACCTTCCTCTGCGCTGTACGTGTACGTGAAATTTTGGGGCACCTGCTTACCCGTGTTCAGATAAAGTAGCTTGTACTGCGACAGTACAAGCGATCGGTGCCTCGTTACGTTTACATCAACCGAAACGTTTCGGAGACTTTTGTGCCAATTTTCGGTCCCGGTAGTGATCGTGAACAAATCTTATGCACTTTTTTACTACACTAACTTTATATTGGATGTCAATTTACTTAGCAAATTACCTTTTTATATGTTGCTCCATAGCTCTAGTCAATTATTGG